ACCCATCTGTACCATTTTATTTCCTCTTAAGATGGCCATTTTTACTTGAATCTTTGTCTTGTTCGTGACCTGAAACTACTGAGGCCTACTAAGCCTGTATTTACTTAGAACAAATAGTGTTAAAAAGCAAGCTTTATATCTTGTGATAACAGTAAGTTTACAGCTAATGAAAAAATGGAATGAATGTATCAGACTGAAAATGGCGTGCAGATTTTGTGATTTTAATGCAGCTAATTATGATGCTTTAAAATTAATAATTCCTTTTAACCCCATTTTTAATTTTCTTCAGAGATCTGCCTTATCATATATACTTTAAAATACTCTTTAATTTTAATAATAGCAAAACTTTTTACAAAGAGGTACGTTTTGAAGCAGGTTTGTTAGTATGTTGAATGTATTTCAATTTCAGTTTTGTTGGACGGGCCTAAGGTGGACCATATCAAGTAACCCACTGTTTGTGCAATATTCCAGTACCTTTTACTGTATAGGGCAAATAAATACTTGAAATAATTCTGACAGTTTTACCTGGGGCAGATGGCCTCTCAGGGTTCCTTTTACCCTTGTGACTTCATAATCTAAAGAATATTTTTAAAGCAGGTACTTCATATTAAATTAGAGCTGCACTCTGAAAACCCAATGGATTATGATCTCTTCAGTACTATTGAACTGTGTGGAAGAGAATGGCAGAATAGAGCCAAAATCATAGTATCACCCCCCCATAATGGAGATGTTCAAACTGACCTGCCTATTCCCAAATTCTTACTAGAGCTTCGATTTTTAAAAATCACCTTATCAGAATAATTCTTTAGAGAATGTGAGGTCCTTCCCCTCTAAGGATAAAATTGCACAAGTCCAGGTGTGTTCAGCTTTAAGCCTCGCCATCCTTTAGAACATTGATGTTGTATGAATGTATTGAATAGGCAGCATAATAACTTACCTATGGACCTGATGAATCTTGACATGTATGGCAGTTCACACAGGTTAATAACTGAATGTAAACTAAAAATTACAATTGTATTCAATTTTGGGGCTGTAATTTATGCAATTATTTTTGTGTGTGATTTTTAGAAAAGGGGGCACCTGTGTTACTTTATTACTGTAAAATTTTCTTAACCAAAATTTGGTGAATTTCACTAGTCAGTCTACCTCACATTTTGTTTATGATTTAAAATTGTCTTTAAAGTTGTGTCTACAGTATGTTATGCTTTCATTTAATTTGGTGAATGTATTAAATTTCCCTCCTACAAACACATTAAAAATTCATTTTCTTTAACTTTCTGGTGTGGTCAAAAATGACTCCCTGACTCTATCCACATAAAAGGGTGTATTTACATAGGAGGTATTACCTAAGATTCCCCTATTTTTTGCTTAACAGTCCAAGAAAGTGCTATATAATTATTGAATGAAAATCTGTAGTGTATATAAAGGAAATAAAAACACACACAAAGTATCTACAGAGCATGCCCATTTTCCGATTTCCACATAATTAGGGTGACAGATCCAGAAATGATTAAAGAGATGTTAAAAATATTCATAACTATATCCCAAATTCTTTATAGGTGGCAAATGTAATGTACTCACTTTGGTATCCTGGTGAGAAACAGAACTCGGTCACCAGAACTGTGTTCTATGATACAAGGTGTTTATCGCCAATTTATTCCTAAATGACACCAATTTTACCATGCTGGTCTTCACTTCCGAAGGAGATCTGAACAAAAAGTTTGTGGGATAGTAGACTTAAAATACAATGGAATTTCCCCTTTATATTTCTAAGTATGATGACAGATTCATGGGAAGTGTAGACTACCAGTTCCAGTTTTCTTCTATGTATGCCAAAGCAGCTGTCCTAGAAAGACTGATAGTTACGCGCTGTCAAGTAGGTTTCGACCCACAGCAACTCTGTACAGGGTTTCCAGGAAGGGGATGGTGAAGTTGAATCACCAACCTTGCAGTTCAAACCGACTTTGTGGTCAAGTGTTTATCCTACAGTGCCACACCAGGAGTCCAGAAAGACTAATACCTGTAAAAAATACAACTACTGGAATACCTAGACCTGGAACAAAATCCAGGGAACCAACCTTCCTTTCAAACCTGTTCCTTTAGTCTCAACTGGGTCTGGAACCAATACTATGTAACACTGAAATCATGTTATTGAGAAACCCATCACACTAATGATGGAAAAAGTCATTCAAACAATAAAATCCACTGTACTCTTAACTGTCAAATACTTAACTTTACTCCAGAGACTCTTAACAGATAAAAAGGCCTTGTTAAGTGCTGTTGAATCAGTTCCGACTCACAGTGACCCTGCATAAGGTCTCTGAGTTGTTGCTATTAAGTGCCATCGAGTCAGTTCCGACTCATAGCGACCCTGTACTGGGTTTCCAAGGCTGTAAATCTTTATGGGAGCAGAAAGCCTCACCTTTCTCCCGCGGAGCGGCTAATAATTTTGAAATGCTGACCTTAAGGTTCGCAGCCCAATTTGTAACCACTACGCTACCAGAGCTCCTGAGTAGCAGCTAATAAGTTTGAACCACCGATATTGCAGCTCAAATGACCTTGTGGTTATCCTAAAGTGCCACAGTGGGCCTAGGAGCCAGGACAATGGGAAGATGAGTATCTGTAGTCATCACTCCAGGAATCAACTCAGCAATCGTCATTCTTGGTGGAATAGTATGTCTGTGTTCCTATTCAGAGGGTACGCAGTCATACCAAGTAAACAAGTTTGATTAAAATGTCACTGTATGCCTACTGTCATCACTGACTGTCCAATAGTTAATAATTTTAATAAGTTCATTCTTGAATATTATGAACTTGCAAAATATTTTTACAATTATTGCTAAGTAAACTGAAGTCATTATATATCCATGCAGACAGGGCCATCAATGTTTTAATCATCAATGAATTCATTTTTTCCTTAAAATTTCATGGTTCCTGTCTAAACTATACATGGTTCCTATAATATGTATATACTGGACATTTTTAAAATGAACTATTTGAGGGCAGTTCACAAAAAATTAATAGGCACCTTTACGTAATCGGCAATTACATAAGCAATCTCTTCTGAAGTTTGACTGTAACCATTAGTAATTAGCATGTTTACAGCTACCTTACCATTCCATGGAATCCCCTCTTTTTCTACTGTCATTTGCAATCTCTTCAGTCTTCAATTGTGGTATGAAAATGTAGACCATTCTTTTATTCTTTGGGTTTCTACGACTCTATCTGGTTCTCTTACTCTGCACCACCATGTCCTCTTAGCAACTTTCCTTTCACACTCAAATGATTGCGTCTTACAAAGCTCTCCTATTTTCCCACTTTATAAATCCCAAGAGAATCTCTTATAAACTTTCAAGTAACTACACTCATAAATTAATTTTTCAGTCCAAAGTTCTCTTACACACTAAGATCAGAATGCCCAACTATAATACCAGATGGTTATCTCCCCTTGGGAACTCTGCCACCTTAACATCATGTAAAACGGACCTCATCCTTTCGCACCCATCCTTTATAACTCAATTCTCCCATAGTCCCTTTTCAAAATAGCAATCTACATAATCACCAAAAACAAAAGTCCCAATTACCACTTCCTATTCTTTGCCACGTCTTCCTCGCTCAGGTATCAATTCTAGAAGGGAATAAAATGTGCCTCTGTCTATTGATCTTAATATGTGGCCCTAAAGACAACAAATGTTTCTTAGCTTTTAATGTAGATATCATATCATCTCATATGAAAATATATTCAAAACCACACACAAATAGAGTGCTATCTCTATTTGAAAGACCAGGAAAGTATCATGTTACTAAAATAGTCAAGGTATTTTATCTATTGGAAATAAAGCTCAGCTGAGCAGTTGCAGGCATAATGATCCTTTGGCAAACTGGTGAAAACTATCAAGAAAACCAGTGTTATAATCATATTTCAAAGTATCAACTTTAAAGAACTCTGAAAAAAGCACACATGACAACACACTTTCCACACCACTATCTTAGTTACTGTATTTATCACGTAGAAAAGGCTACCAAGTATGTCACTATTTTATTCTACATTATATACAGATCATAAAAGGCCACAGCAGTTTTCAACATATAAACCCTTTAAAAGTAGAGGGCATTATGAAGGATAGACAAGTATCAAATGAAGTCCAGTAATGAGGGCATATATACTCAGTGCAGTATTTCTAAGGAATCACAAAGCAGATACCAAGAAATCCACATTTACCTTGCAATACAGAATTTTATAAACCTCTTTGGGATTTGTTAAGAGCCTGAATATGCCAAGTTGCCATTTATTTTTAAAAGGGAAACCAGAATGAAAGCATAATGAACTTTATAGCTCTCCAGGAAGGAAAGCCTGAACTAAAATCTTTACCACTTCCCACTTCTAACTGCTATTAAGGATAGGGAAGAGATAAACAAAAGAAAAAGCTCAATATTCTAAAATGTTACTGTTTACTTGGAGCTTTTTCCCCCCAGGTTATGGGTTCTTTCAAAGTATACTTTAGGTCTTTTACAAATTAATATTGCACCCTCCTAAAATACTAGCTCAAAAGACATTGGTTTCTGGTGCCCTGAAAATAAAGTCTTTGAACCTATAAACTGGTATCAGCAGAGCAATATAAAAAATACAGTACCAAGCTACACTGGTATATTTCCACATTAAGAACTTCAAAATATACTTATCACTGAGACCATACAGTCCTTGCATTAGTTTTCAGTCCACTATGAACAATTATCTGCTGCATGTAAACATGTCTAAATAATTATAGATAAAATACATCAATCATAAATTTCTGTAAAAGATAATAAAATATCTTCTTTAAAAAACAAAACAATAAGCTATTACTGCATTGTTTCCAATTTTATGAAAATGGAACAACCTTATGGTTGTTGCCAGTCCTGAGTTCACGGTAATAAAAATGGCCCTAGTTCCTGGTTAAAGTCAGCAATCGATCCATTCTTCAGTAGATGTCTTCTAGTACTATTGGCAAGAATTTGTTTTAGGTGCTATTCTGTCCATTAATAAAATTATATACCAGAAACTGACCAGTGCCACAGTACTGTGTTGCAAACAGTTTTCCATCAGGAGTAGGATCTGAGAAAGCAATTTCTTCTTTACTCAAATATGAGCCATAAATAAAGTTACTCCTGTTTAAAAAAAAAAAAAAAGGTGGAAGAATTAGGTAAATATTTTAATTATCAAAATAAGATAAAATCAAATACAATTTGATTATAAAGACTTCTTAGTTCTAAAAGTTGTTTAATCATTAATTAAAAACAATATATTATAGTGTAGCTACCACTATGGACTGCTTTGAAGTGGACTAGAACAGAAGGCTCTGATAGAATGGAAGAAAAATGTGAATCAAAACTCAAATCATTTATATGTTGTATATTCCTGAGTGCTTCAGTGTACATCCAAAAAAAACCCAGAGGGAACAGAAGCAAATGCTGTTGAATGATGATGCATGGAGAGGATTGTAATCATTGCAATGAAACGAAATATGATAAGATGACTGTAAAGCTGATGTTGTCCCATGTAGACTATCACCCAATTCACAATCAAAACTTAAAAAAAAAAAAAATGCAATCATTTACGCAAAATAATACAAAAAAACCAGGCTTACTGGTTTGATACTGGTGGAGCCACTGAGATTATGGCCCTTAGTCATGCTTCAGGCCTGGAACTGGTATCACTCCTCCTATTCCCACCCCACATTTAACCAAACAATACACAGGACTGTAAAGTGAACAATGTTACCAGAGAAGTACAGACTCTTTAGAACAATCAATCATAGGATATCAAAAGGGCAGCACTTACACAGGCACAAAGTTCATAAGGCAAGAAGGGACAGGAAAAGAGCAACGCAAACAGCAATCTATGTCAGGAAACAAGCGTGCATGAATTGTTGAATGGAAAACTAATTTGTTCTGTAAACTTTAACCCAAATTACAATAAAAAGATAAATAAAATCATATATCTGATAAGGGACATGTCTCCAGAACATTACACACACACAAAAAGGTAAATAACTGAACTAGAAAACTGACCAAAAATTGGAATAGACATTTCTCCAAAAACATATACAAATAGCCAATATGTATATGAAAAATTGCTCAACATTATTAGTCATACAAATGAAAACCACAATCAGATACCACGTAACACCCACTATGATAACTAGAATACAAGACAGACAACAACAAGGGCTGGTAAAGACAAAGAAAAGTTGGAACCCTAGAATGTTCCTGGGGTTTAGAAAAAATAGCAACCCTGTATAATGTATCCGAGAGTCACTGGTGGCTTTGAACTGTTGACCTTGGGGTTTGCAGTCCAGCACTTATCCTACAACACACCAGGAAAAAGGTAGATGGTTCTTAAAATGTTAACCATAGTTACCATATGATCCAGCAATTTCAATCTTCAGTGTATACCCAAGAGAAATTAAAACATGTTTCATGCAAAAATGTGTACTGGAACATTCAAGGAAACATCATTTATAATAACCAAAAAAGTGGAAACTACCCAAATGTCTATCAACTGATGAAATGAGTAAATAAAATGTGGGATATTATTTGTCAATAAAAACAGATGACACACTGACACATGGATAATTCACTGAAACTATGTAGATGATGGTAGCCAGATGTGGAGGGGAGAAGGCCATGCAGAGTGATTGCTAGTGGGATGGGGATTCTTTTCAGGCGATGGAAATACCCTAAAATTAGACAGTGGTGTGCAGCCTTGTGTATGTACTGTTGTTGTTGCTGTTGTGTGCCTATAGTCAATTTCAACTCATAGTGACCCTATTTCATAGGGTTTTTGAGGCTTTAAATCTTTTTAAGGGAGTCGACAGTCTCACCTCTCTCCCAGAGAGCAGCTGGTGGGCTCGAACCACCAGCCTTGTGGTTCGAAGTCGAGTACTTTCCCCGTACACATAAATACTGGATATGTGTAAGTACTTACATACGCACATGAGCACAGTGGCTCCACAGGATAAGTATGGACACCCATTAAATTATGTACTTTGTTAAGTGCCATCCAGTCGATTCCAATTCATAGTGATCCTGGTAAAGGGTTTCTGAGGAGCAGCTGTTGAGTTTGAACCACCAACCTTTTGATTCAAAATGACCTTGCAGTCCAGTGCACTACCCTGCAACACATTACTATATAAAATATTTACTCTAAGAGCATCAAGTGGCTGACTTATAAGCTTTCATGAATATGCTTAATTTCAGAATGAGGGAGATAAAGTAGAATCTCCCCTGAATAGATGGGGATGGGTCTGGCGAAAGGGGATGGGGGTGATGCTGATAGGATTTTATGATTCAATTGTAATTGCTAGCAGGATTAATTGTGATTGTCACAACTATCACTGTAGAAAATGTGTAACCAAAGAGGGGAGTAAGGGGGAAGTAGTTAATTTTTCATTTCAGGAGCAGAGGAGCCCAGGACCATTCAAGAAAGAAGAGCATGAGTGGAACATGAGATCCTACCTAGAAGAGTGGTGACAGCAGAGACGAAAGCAGAGGCATTGGCATGGAAAAGGGGAATAGCTGCAGGCTCTAGGCCCATGGACTGAGTAAAGTTGTGTGCTTTTGGGCAGGAGGCTGACTTGCAGAATATGCCCTTAGAGCATTTAAATTAACATAAATTTTTGTTTTATATGTGAACATCAAATGTCTTTGCTTTGTTCATTTGTGAAATATTAAGATATAAAAGGGAAGCCACAGAAAGGAAGTAGGATAACTGTTGTTGTTGGGAGAAGACTATAATCACTGAGATGAAACATAGCCTGTAATTTGTTGAACGTAAAGCTGATGATCTTGTCTATGAATCTTTTACAATAAAAATTTGCAATAAAAAGTTAAAAGGACAAAGCCTATTAGAAAAGTTTTTATCTTGTAATATTCAGGAGGAGTCCTGGTGGGGCACTGTGGGTTACTGCACTGGACTACATGGTCAGTTTGAATCCCAAGGCTGGCGGTTCAAGCTCACCAGTTGCTCCTCGGAAACAGGGTTGCTATGATTTGGCACCGACTTGATGGCACTTAACAATAAAAATATTTAGGAGTGCTGGGCACTAATAGGAACAACCGTATAAGGAATAATAAATGAAAAATATATTTTTTTTAAGAGGAATCATACAGTGGCAGTTTTATGATCACATACAGCAATACAACTATTATATTGGCTGTGTTTTTCCTTAATAAACTAGAATCACCTTATAATTAGTTGTCTCAAGACCTAAGTTTATATAGATTTAAAGGAAGAAAAATAGCCTTCTGTAGAATTATTATTTAATCAGCCACATTTCCTATGTTTAGCTTTAAAAGAGCTAAAACACTGTTATGAAAAGAGCCCTTTTAGGTCATTACTCATTTATAAAATAAGGTTATGAGATCCTCAGAGTCTTACAGCAAGATGGATTACTTTAAAAGCTATACCCAGAAGTAATAACAGAAAGGGATCCTAAGAATTAACAAAATAGATGAATCTAAAATCTTTATTTTAATGATTAATTTTAAGTCATTCCATGTGCTTTATCACAAAGCTGGCAGTTCAAACTCACTAGCTGCTCCTCAGAAACCTATACAGGGTCACTATGGGTTGGAACCGACTTGATGGCAATTAACAACAATGTGCTTTATAGATAAAAACAAAACATGTAACTTGTCTGTCTCCCTTTTATACTTGTGACAAACAAATAATGGTAAAAACTAGTGACTTGGATAACTTACAAACTGGTCTTAAATAAATTTTCCTAAAAGCTTAACTCATGAAAAACAGATTTCTTTCTCTGTATTAAAAATTCTTCATTATTAAAATACATCATAAAATAAGTGTATTTATTTTGGCCTAATCTTGACAAATAAGTGAATCAAAATGTTTTAATATATAATAGATAGCACTTTCTTCTACTGAGATTAAATTCACTTACAGATCCACTACAGTGACAATCTTATGTACTTTATTACTTCAGATTAATTGCTAATTTTCATACTAAAACTTTGTTTAAATCCTAACATACTAAAAATAGTTTGAAGAATTACATTTAAGTTACCTTAAGCATTCAATCATGCGAGAAGCAATTCTCTTCCGCCGCATCATGCTGAATACCCATATTCGACTGATCCCACAGATAGCAGGCTCCGGCAATGTTGAGCAGCACCAGGCTTTTTGCCTTTCAAATCTAACTTTTTCTTCTTCTGTTCCAATAACTGGAAGTTTCTCTTCTATAACTCTGTAGCCCTAGAGGTGTCAAAATTGGGGAAATTTTTTTCAGTGAGTATGTTAACCAGCAATTGTTTTGCTAATTACAAGAATTATCTGGCTTCTTAACAGAAGATGGGACCATTTATGGTTTCAAGGAAATAAACCAACCTGGATACTCTGTTCTAATTCACTTACTAATTATGTGACATATGGGAATGTTACTTAATTTCTCTAAGCTTTGGCACTGTAGGATAAGCTAACTACATGGTCGGTGGTTCAAACCCACTAGCTGCTCCTCCAAAACCTTATACAGGGTCACTATGAATCAGAACCGACTTGATGGTACATAACAACAACAATAATTCTAGATATCCACCATCTCTCCAAAGAGAGTTGTTGAGATTAACGAAAAGAACCTTGCCACCATGCCTGGTCTGTAACAAGAACTTAATGTTAAGTCTCTCCACCATGAGATTCTAAGGACCAGCAAAGTACACATTAAGAACTCAGCAGTAAAAATGAAAAATGTTCTGGGATTGATTTCATTGTTCTGTGGTTCACAGCTGTATGGAGACTAGGAATAGGGACGGCAGAGAATGGCAAGAAGCCTTTCCTGTGGTTTTTTTTTTTTTTGTAATTTTATTTGTTTTAAATATGCATCTCCTTTGCCAATTTAGTTGCCAAAAAGGATATGGCAAGCCCACTGATTGTACATTATACAAAATTTAAAAGATCATACAACGATGAGTTAGAAAACAACAAACATTACATCGCTATCTTCTAGTCAAAACACTGCTTAAATCATTTTGGGGAATTAGGTGGGATAATAATTTTAAAACACCAATGTTTTGTTTTTATGACAGTTTGGCCCCTAAGTATGAAAGTGCATTATTTAATCTAGTGCGCAGCCAAAGAACAGGTGATCTTTTCCAGAGGTCAGCTAACTTTCAATAAAGGACCAGATAGTCAATATTTTAGGCTCTGTAACCTAGCCATTCTTATGCAACAACTTAAATCCTTAGCTCTGCCTATAGAGTGAGTAGGCAGCCATAGACACTACATAAACAAATGGATATGGCTGTGTAACAATAAAATTTTTATTTATAAATAGGCTGGAATTTACCATTGGCTAAAGGAGTTCTGATAGCGTAGTGGTTACGAATCAGCTGTGAACTGCAAAGTCAGCAGTTTGAAACTACCAACTGCTCCTGTAAAGATTTACAGCCTCGGAAACCCTGTACAGGGTCGCTATGAGTCGGTTCTGACTCCACGGCACATAACAACAACAACAACAACAATATAATCTGCCAAACTTTCATTTATTCTAGTGTTGGAGAAACTTATTGAGGCAGACATTACATTAGGAAGGTGCTAAACAAGATTTAGCTGACTTAATTTTTTATGAGCTCTGATGGCATACTGGTTACACACCAGACTGCTAATCACAAAGTCAGCAGTTTGAACCCACCAGTTGCTACAAGGGAGAAGAATGAGGCTATCTACTCTCATAAAGATTTACAGCCTTAGAAACCCTAAACAGGGTCCACGGTAGTAGGTATGGTGGTGTTTACTGTTTTTCTTTTTTGATTCTACAGGAGCCCTGGTAGCACAGTTTCAGCACTCAGCAGAAAACCAAGAGGTTAGCAGTTCAAACCCACCAACTGTACTATGAAGAAAAATAAGGCAATCTGCTTCCATAAATATTTACAGCCTTGGAAACCCTCTAGGGTAGTTCTCCTCTGTCCTATAGGGTTTCTCTGAGTTGAAACTGACTTAACCAGCAGGTTTGGTTGTTGAGTCTACAGAATTTTTATCTTGCATTCTAACTTTAGAAACTTATCCTCCTATAATATACAACACCACTTTGATGAAGAATCACATACTGGAATTCTGCCTTTCATTCTCTTCCATATGTAAAGTATAAATAAATATATCAGAATCGATACTCAAGATGACACAGTAAGCTGTATATATACCAAACTACTTATGGGCAATCTTAAAATCACTTACCCACTGGATATGTTCTGCGATCAGGCAGCCAACTACTTTTTTGTCATTAGAAATAAAGAGAAGTGTTTTTGTTCTGGAATAGCACATTAGTGGAGCCTGTTGGAAACCTAAATCATTATCAACCATCTCTCTAATTTCATCAACCTGCCAAATAAAGAACAATGATTTTTTTTCAACAATGAAAGCATTGCATATGTTTATATCTATAGACAGAAAAACTTCCTACTACTTCACTTCAGTAAGTTGAGAACATTATTCCAAACAGGACATTTTTTAAAGGGTTATTTTGAATAGCTAAGTATAGTAATCAATACCCATTTTGTTCTGTTTTTAAGTCCTACGGGCCACTTTGCAAAATAGGGAAAGAAATGGAAGTAATGCCAAGCCCCAGTTCTGAAGGAGCTCTGATAGCACAGTCATTACAAATCAGGCTGCTAACTGCAAGGTCAGCAGTTCCAAACTACCAACTGTTTTTCGCAGAAGAAAGATGAGGTTTTCTGCTCCCGTAAAGATTTGTAGCCTCAGAAACCCTGTGCAGGATCACTATGAGTTGGAACTGACTCCACAGAACTTAACAACAACAGTGAGTCAACGGAGTCCTGGTGTGGCACTGTGGGTTAACGCGCCAGACTGCAAAGCTGTTTGAACTGCAAGGTCAGCAGTTCAAACTCACCAGCTGCTCCTTGGAAACCCTTTACAGGGTCGCTTTGGGTCGGAACCGACTCACCGGCACTTAACAACAGTGAGTCGACAGCACTTAGCAAAAAGGAGTCCTGGAAAGGAGCTGTAGGATCAGCACTAAACGGCTAACCAAAAGGCTGGCAAGCTCAAACCCACCAGCTGCTCCTCAGAAACCCTATACAGAGTCGCTGAGTCAGAATTGACTGAACGGCACATCATCCAGAAAGTAACATTAATTCAGTAAGTATTTTTGTTATGTGTGAAGGATTAATGCTTTAAATATGAAGCATATGCTATGATCCTGTTCCATTCTAACTGCAAGTCTCTATAGCATTGTTGTTAAGAGCTGTTGAGTTGGTTCTGACTCATAGCGACCCTGTAGAAAGTTTCCGAAGAATGGCTGGTGAGCTTGAACCACCAACTTTGAGGTTTAAACCAACCTTGCATTACCCTGAAGCACCACACCAGGACTCTATAGCATTCGTTGTTGTTGGTATGTGCCATCGAGTTGGTTCCAATCCACAGCGGCCCTGTAGAGGGTTTCCAAGGAGCGCCTGGTGAGCTTGAACCACCAACCTTGTAGTTCAAACCGACTTTGCAGTCTAGCACATTAACCTACAGCACCACATCAGGACTCCCTATAGCATTTAGGCTGTGGTAATATGTGAAGACCTACTTGGGTTATCTGCATTTATATACGAGGGAGCGTCAAAAAGTTTCTGGAAAAAATTCTGCTCTTTTTCCACAAACTTTTTGAAGCTTCCTCATATGCAATATGAACTACAGGAAAAATTTGTGTTTTAAATAGGCATTTTAAAGTATTATGACGTACTTCTGAAAAAAAATCTCAGGTTTTTGAAGAAAAACATATTGAGCTTATCTTAAAATAATTATTTAAAAATTAAGTTAATGTCCAAAATGTATAAATAACTGCTATAATTCAACAATAAAGAGACTTAAACCCAATAAAAACCAGGGGAAGGACTTAAGCAGTTATCCAAAGGATATACATAAATAGTCAATACGTACATGAAAATAAGCTCAACACTGTCAGTATCTGGGGAAATGCAAATCCAAACTAAGAGATACTACTTCACCTTCACCCATTAGAAAAAGGGTGAGTATATGAAGAAGCTGAAACCCGCCTGCATAGCTAATGGGAATGTAAGTACAGTTGTTGTGGAAAATAGTATGCCAAGTCCTCAGAAAGAGATAAACAAGGGTTATGGAGAAAAGTACTGCTACTAAGGTTCCAGTTCATATGGTGGTTGGTGGTTATGTGCCGTGGAGTCGGTTCTGACTCCTAGCAACCCTGTACAGGGTTTCCGAGGCTGTAAATCTTTACAGGAGCAGAAAACCTCATCTTTGTCCAGCGGAATGGCTGGTAGTTTCGAACAGCTGACCTTAAGGTTCGCAGCCCAATTTGTAACCACTACACTACCAGTGCTCGAGTTCACATATGCACAGGTTTATTCCAAACTTGTCTGAATATGTCTTTGCAATCAGTAAATAACTGTCAACAAATTCTGTCAGTAATACACTTGTCTTAGCCTAGTCAGCTGCCTTTAGAAGAAAAAGATCCAATCAAAGTAGCGACTGAGGGTATCTGCTAGGGCAGTGAAATTCAAAGCAGAAAGGTCAACTCAAATCATGAAGAATAAAGGGGTAATCTTGATAGATTTTCTCAAAGGTTTGGACAAAGGGCTTATTATAAGGAAGAAGTTTTCAGAAAACTGAAAACTGAATTGGTGGGGACAAACAAAACAGGAAAATTATGCTTAGAAATGTTTTTCCATCAATGGCTGTCCTTTGAAAATGTGTTAGAAAACATCACCCCATCCACACTAAAGCCCTGATCTTGCATTTTTAGACTTCTTTTTGTTCCCCAAACTCAGAGAACACCTAAAAAGAACACAATTTGCATTCCTTAAGAATATTTTTAATGTACTATAAATAGAAAAATGCAGAGTTCTTCAGGGAAAGCTTACAGATGGAAACACTGCTTTTAGAACTGTGCAGGCCTAGATGGAAGACATGTTAAGAAACAACAGCTTCTTGTCCATCAACCGTCGAAGGTTTTATTGCCTGTTAAAGTTTTCAGAAGCTAGGCAAATCATTGCGGTGCCTGGCCCTTAAACGTGCCATGTGTCTTTACTCTCATGTCAAGAATCACTGCACTAATAGGAATTGTTGCCTTTTTTTGCCCTGCCCACCATGTAAATCAACTGTCTAGGGATATTACTCTCACTCATACGATCCAAGAGTAAATAGATAAAGGTTTACAAAACAGACTAAATGCTTTAGAGAAAGGAAGATTGCTTAAGGGAAATAAGACTCAATATATCCACATTACACTCCCAGCTAAGGTTATTCACGGTATAAGGAGATTTGTGTTATCTTTCAGTAAGCCAGAACTTGATTGGAACTTAATCCAACAGCATTTTAGGAGGTCGTGGAATAATATCAACTTGTCTGTGGATATTCATCAGCTACATGCTCAAGTTTCTGATATAAGTAATTCTCAAAGTGAGCACTGAGTGGCTACTAATTTGCTACCCCTGCTAGAGAGTAAGATCCCCTAAGAACTTGATTGAACCTCAGCATAGTGATCCTGCTTGGTCACCTTAGAGCAGGTGGTGGGCTGGCAACATCTTGCATATGGGGTCCCCAGCCGATCTCCTCCCTCCCTGCCTTCCTCTGATGGCGGCTGTTTATGCTGGACGTGTGGCCAGAGACGGGTAAGGATCACGTGGAACCTCGGCAACCTAAGACCAGAGCCATTGCCATGCTGCAATGAGTTTCGATGACGGGTAAGACTGAGGAATTCGCACTGACGGCCTAAGACAGGCAGTGTCCCTTAAACAAACAATAAATAAGGGGGAATCTGATGTAGACCGTGCAGACCCGGTCAGGAGGTCAAGACCCTGTGGGCCCAAGCGTTGTTGACCGTCCAAACCATAGGCTCTGAGGATCAGACTTTAGCCACCTAGTAGACATAGCAAACTGTCCCTCATCTGATTATTCAGTAATGCTTGTTAATAATCTCATACATGAGCCCTGGATATCCACAGATAAATGTAAAAACCTTCCCTAAAAGCAGAGACTGTAAATTCCAAAAAGGCAAGTTCCCCCGCCCCCGCAAAAAAAAAAAATAAAGAGGATAGAGAGAAACACTGTTAACTGATGATATATGGAGGGGATAATAATCAATGTAATGAAACAAGTTATATGAATGGTTGAATGTGAAGCTGATGATGTGCCCTGTAAACTTTCACTCAATCCAAAATAAAACATTTAATAAAAAAAAAAAGAAACAACAGCTTCATATTTTGACATTTTTTGTTAAACAAAGCTTTCTAATGATTTTGCAGTAATACTTTATTTACCCCTTTTGTATAATCAAAAAAATTTTATGATTATCCTATGACTCCTGACTTTTAAGACCCCTTGCAGCATGGTGGATTATGAGCTGGGCTGCTAACTGCAAGGTCAGCAGTTCAAATCTACCAGCCACTCTGTCAGACAAAGATGAAACTTTTTGCTCCTGTAAAGATTTATAGCCTTGGAAACCCTATACAGGGTCACGAGTCAGAACCAACTCAACGTCATACAACCACCATATAATAAAATGGCTACCTAACTATGGTAAAGAATTATGGGAAAAAATCTTCGGTTTTATATTGAATCACTTATCTGTATACATGTAATTGAAACCACATACAATATGTAGGTAGGATGTTTATAGAATTGGATGTATTGTTATGAAAATGTCAATGCTTCTCTGATATTTAATGATATAAATTATTTTTCTGATTTCCAAACAAAAAATAACATGCATTTTATAATTTAATAAAACATCCTGGATTGTAGTGAATCATTTACTAGCTAGTCACTAAACCAGTAATCCATCTGGAATTAAAACCCAGAAACGTTTTGAACAATCCAAAAGTACTGTTTGTTAAAAATATACATGTAAAAACAAAACAAAACAAAACAAATATATATATGTAGAATTAAAAACATATGTAGACTTGCCTTTCACAGTTTAGTAATTTTGTATATAACACATGCACAAATATTTATTTAGATGAGTATTTATTCTCTCCACTTTATTCTATGTGTCATGTACTTTATAATAAAACATATTCAGAACACATTTCCATGGCTCATTTTTCAATGCAATGAACTCTTGGAATCCTTTAATTATAAAATTCTAAGTTGGACTAATTCATACTAAAAATAGGATTTTATTGAAATTCTCGATATTGTATTTATAAACTGGAGCCTCTCTCTTTTTCACTGTTATTATTACTACTTCCAGCTTAATTTCAGGTTTTTTATGTTCTACTATGTCTTTTTCTGCAATAGTGTAGATTTAGAAATTTAATCTTAGAATGAATGTTTAGATCATTTTAAATGTTTACTGTTTACTATGATTAATTTTTCATTCTAATTATTGAAATCACTTGAAGTAGTGCTGTAGTTTCAGCACTGACTACTAACAAGGTTGGTGGTTCAAACCCACCAGTTGTTCCTTGGAACTCCTATAACAGGGTCGTTATGAGTCAGGATTGACTTAACAACAGTCCTTTTCTGCAACAGCTTCTATTTAGAAATTTAATCTTAGAATCTTTTGATTTCATTAATTTAAATGTTCACAATTATTATGATTAACTTTTAACTTTAATTCTTGAAATCACTTATTTAGCACTATTCATTAATTAGCATGCCTTCTATTCCATCAGTTGAAATAATTGATGATATCAGACAATAATCAATTCATCTAAAATCAATTCATTTATATGCTAGATTCACACTACAAAGTTTAACATCACTTTATTACTGCTTTTATTCTTATGATGCTTATTTCTTGATTTTTAATTGGTGTTTAAATGTGCTATGTTAGCACTACTAAGTGGGAATCACAAAAAGAACATGTGGGAGAAGAACACAAACACTTAGCCTGCACTATTACCTAACTGTTTGTAACACTTCTGCAAAAGTAACAGGAGTCTAGCATGTGTTTTTGTGTTAAAACTTGCTGCAAATTTCATGCATTCACCATGCAATCTCACTGGAAGGAAAGCTACCTTTTTCAGGGCATACTTCGGGTCTTCAGGAAGAACCATTATTATCTTGCCATCAGGGTACTCATCCAGAATCCTTTCTTTTTTCCAGCCCTAGATATATTTAAAAAAAAAAAAAAAGTGACCTTTTATGTATCATATTTTAATCATTATAGCCATTTACAAAATGAAAAAGTACAGAGATTTGTCTAAAAATTTCAAACAGAAAAACATGTTCATTAATGCTTTATTAATTAAGTATGGTAAATCAGCTGTTTTGCTAATCATAGAATAAAAACAAAGCAAGCAAAATTCTACTATTAAGAGATATATATAACACAATATTTCTAATTATTACTTCCCACTTTAATTTTGAAAATCACACATCAAAAGCAAGCCCCTTAAAGTCAATGATTCCCAAAACCTAAAGGATAACTCTCTCATGTTCTTGTTAAAAGAATTAAACTTGTAAATTTCTTTGTAACATGGTTACCTCCACAAACACACACTCATGGTTTTATGCCTGGCATGCCAAAGACCTCCAGGAGGTTTTTAATGAACTGATTTGCATGCAGTAGCCCAGTATGAAAAGGAATAGTTTTTATTCTTATTGATCACAACTATCAAAGTCACAAGAAGGAGACTATAAAAAATATAACTACCTTCTAAGAATCTAATAGGGAAGGAGAAGCTACGTTGTGTGTATCTGAAGTTTAACATACTCAAAAAAAGAGAGGTAATAAACTCTTCTTCAGATCCACACTCGTGGTGATTAATGAGCAGAACCTGCATGAAAAAAACAAAACAAAACAAAAGCCACTTAAATCTAGTAAGATGGGACTGAACCAGAGGTTAAAACTAGGAGCTTTGAAGTTCAAAATAAGTACAGAAGGAATGAGTTTAACTGGTGTTCCATTTGTCTTACCCAAGCAACTTTATATAAAAAGGCCTTTCAAAAACCAGTACATACTTCTGTTAGGAAAAAAATTAACTTCTTCCTGAAATGTTTCTTCCAAGTATATAAAAGCACAAGAAAATGACAACTTGATCATTTTAAATAAGTTTAAGGAGCCCTGGTAGCGTAGTAGATTCCGAGTTGGGCTGTTAACCACAAGGTCAGCAGTTCGAATTTACCAGCTGCTTAAGATGAGACTTTACAGCCTCAGAAACCCTATATAGTGTTGCTATGAGTCTGAACTAACTCCATTGCACACCATCACCACAGCCAAATTTAAGAGGTTGTTTTTTTGTTTGTCTATTTGCTTTGTTTTTGTACTGAAAAATCTTAATTTTTACTAATGAGATTGTTGTAAAAATTTCTTAGAAAACATAATTATTTTCAGAGTGTTCAAACAAGAGAAGAGTTGTTTCTCTTTAAACAATTCATGATGCTTCTTTCACGGGCGGGGTTAGGAGAGAGGGTCTTTATTGGGGATATAAAAAATGTGTAACAAACTTAGTATATGTAATAATATGGATTCAAATCTTTAAAATCTAGAATTTGTTTACAGAATAGAGCTCCCACACAAAAAGAACAATCTTGATTATCATTAGTAACGATTGGTAATAACAGTTCTCAAGATTTTAAAAGACGACACAGAAATGTCTTTTTTTTTTTTCAAATTAGAATCTATATCTGAATCATGTAAGTATAGGCAAATCATTTTAAAAGTAATAAAAGACAAAACCACTTTAAAAACAAACGTGTATTCGAGAAGATATATATATGCACACCAATGTTCATAGCAACACTAGTTACAATAGCAGAAAGATGGAGACAGCCAAAGTGCCCATCAACTGAAGAATAAACAAACGGTGGTACATACACACAATGGAATATTATGCTACCTTGACGAATAACAAGGAAGCTGAATACCATAGATTAACATGGATGAATCTAGAGGGCATTATATTGAGTGAAATTAGCCACAGAAAGAGAAATACTGCATAGGACCACTACTGTAAAAGACTAAGGAAAAGAATCCATACTGAAGGGGGCTGGGGGTATTCTTTGCTGATTGCTGGGATGTTGGGGGAGGGGGGAGGGGAGAGAAGGGAAGGTGGAGCCGTCGGCAGGGAATAGACACAGGATAGTTTGGGTACTGGGGAGAGGGCCAATATACAAGAAGGGAGAGGGGAATGGAAGAACAAAGTAGATGGGAGAACAATTAGACAGGTCTCAATCGGCTAAGTGGGACAGAGGTAAATATTGACATATGCACAACCTTGGTACAACAGGGTTCAGGGATACAGAGACTGAGCCATGGTTGGAATGGGGAAAAGGGGGGAATAATGTTAAGATGCTTGGCTATCTTTTGAATCTTGGTTTTTCCTTATTATATTATAAAATAGACACTGGAGGGGGAGAGAAAGGATTAGCCAGAAGCATCATCACAGAAAGCTTGTAAGTCCGTCTTCTGCCTATAACTGATTGGCAATACCTAAAATGGGGCTACAACGTGCCCAGTGAAGGAGGCTTCCCGCAGAGCCTCTGTAATACATAAAATTATAGGTGAAAGCCTGAACCACATCTAGATCTTCAGAGATGGGAAATATCAACTTGAAAGGATTAGCGGACCAGCCTGGAGCGGCTACAACAGAAGATACTTCTTGAAAGAAAGACCAACAGGAAAAATACAAAACAATAGAGGCAGACGGACTGTTACTACAAGAACAAGCAAGTTGCTAGCCCAGGAAACATCAAGGCAAGTAGTCGGGTTCCCTCAGTGCAAACCCCCTTCCAAGACTAAGACTCAATGGGAATACACACTCTACGCTAGCATAAGCACCAATAAGGGGAAGTGAGGGAAAAACAGCAATGAAGCGGTAAGCTATGCCCTACAATGTTCAATAGACTTCTGTGAACCTGGGTGAAGACCTGATTGGCCAGTAGTGTGGCAAGACCTGGGGACTCTTGGGCTCAAAGTCAGTGACATAGCCACAGAGAACAAGAGTGGAGAGTGAAGCATTCAACGGATAAGAAGAGAGGGCATCTGCACAAGAACATCCACACTTGCAGATAACACCCACTTGACCTGGCTTCAATGACTAGATGATCAGAGCTCAACCAGAAGAAGAAAGCAGAGGGAAAAAAGCTTAATTTGAGACAATTGGATGAACTTTGACCTACTGGATGCAGAAGCTCAAAAGAGGGAACAAATCCTTACAGCAAGGATCATTCCCACCCACCCCTTCCATACACAGAGTAGACAGGGATGGGCAACTTAGACATTGGCTACCCAAAATGGGGGGGGCTACAAAGGCAAGAAGTGACTGGCTTACAAGCTTTCAAGAAAGAGGGAAGCTAGATTCATAGGGCATGGAGGAAGGTAGAATCTTCACTGAGTAGTATACAATCTGTCTAGGGGGGCTGATGAAATGAAATCCGGATGGATCTCTTGTGATACAATAGTGAATAATTGTTATCTGGACTGCTTGTGAGGGATGGAATTGTAAAGGTAGACTTTTTTTAGCAAGGAAGGGAGGGATTAACTTTTCAGCCTAAGAATGGAGGTCCCTGGGACCAGCAAGGGAGGAGAGCGGAGAGCGGGACCCTACCCAGAGAAGCAGTGATGCCTGAGATGGAAGCAGAGATGATGACGTGGAGAGATGGAGCTGTTGGGGACTTTAGACACAGAGAGGGAGAAGGGCTGTGTGCTGATGACCGGGGGGCATGCTTGTAGTGTATACCCTTTGGATGGTTGATGATGCATGGAGGGGATTGTAACCACAGCAATGAAATAATATACTATAGGATGAATGTAAAACGAATGTTCTCCCATGTAAACTATCACATAATTCACAATAAAACATTATGAATAAAAAAAAACCCAAATGTGTATTACTTTTTAAAAAAACTTTAAAAATTACTCGTTTCACTTTAAATTTAACTACAAATTTAATGAAAAACTAGAAATTTATGTAACCTCAATTTACAACAAAGCCAATACTTCGTGAATGAAACTATCTGAAGCACAACTTGATAAGTTATTTTCTTATTACTAAGTCCTTCAGCGTAGCATAAGCACTGGACTGCTAACCACAAGGTCAGTGGTTCAAACCCACCAGTCCCTCCTTGGAAACTCTATAGAGTCAACATGAGTCAAACTGACTTGATGGCACTTAGCAACGTGATAATGTTGCAAATTTTTTGTTTTACTGACTTTTTAGTGCAGAGCCTTCCTTCAAAATAAAGATAAACTTGTATGTTCATGTAGAAAATTTTATCACAATTGGATTGGATAGATTTTGTTTAAAATTTTTATGTACTAAATAAAAGACCATCAAAACAAAGAAGCAGGAATTGTAAAAGGCACAGTTACTAGTATGTGGGTTTCTAATACTCATGTTTTTAAGTAAAAACATTTTTTAAGAGTTCTAGGCAAAAAGCTCAGAGTTGGCCTTGAGTGAATCACTGATTCTATTCCTGATATGTAAGACCTATAAAATAGCTGCCATCCACCACCATTATTTGGTAGTTAAGAAGGCTGTATCTCAGCCCTATCTAGGAGAGTGGTGATGGCAGTTCAGACAGAGCAGCTGTGAACTCTTCACGGACTGAGAAAGGCTGTGTGCCTGTGGGCAGGAAGCAGGCTTGCAAAATGTGCCCTTTGGACATTTAAATGAATTTTTGTTTTGTTTTGTTTTGTATGTGTACAAATATTTTTGCTTTGTTGACTGTGAAAAATCAGATGTAAAATGGAAACCACAGAAGAAAGCAGGATAACTTGTTGCAGGGAGGGGAGTCATTGAGATGAAGCAAAACGTAGGAGTGGATGAGGATAAAGTTAATCATCTTGTCTGTTAACCTTTACTGGAAAAAAAAAGATTTCTCAGAGTGGTCACATAACTCTTCTGTAACTTCCATTCTCTCTTCCCATTAGTAATATTAAAAGAGTCCAATTGTGTTCACAGCCACTATCATGCTGGCATTAGAGAGCTCCAGCTACAGGACAAAGGGGTAAGTGAGGAGGTCACTATACCACTGCTTCTACATAGCAGACTATCCACAAATCAACCTATGGAAACCACCCAGGAAGCAAATGGCTGCAAAAGCCATTCGTAAAAGGGCACCCTCTACTGGAGGGGTGAAGAAACTCAATGTTACTTTATCA